TTTTTCGCCCGGAGACCCCCAGGGGCCGCCTCGCGCGCGCGATCTAGAAATATTGTTAACCAGTTACCGGAGATCTTAGCACGCCTCTGGCCCGTTGGGCCAGCTAATTTTTTACGCCATGTGCGATTCGCAGAGCTGGCGGCAGCTCGAAGCTCGTCGGGACCCGGCCCATGCCCCGCCGCCCCGCTATCAGCAGCTGCCGCGAGCGCGAAGTAGAGTCTCCACGCTGCGTGCACTGGACCTCCCTTGTCGTGACCAGGTGCCCGAGCCTCGTCAGACTTTGGGTGCAAGTGGTGTCCAGGCTCGTGGGGGTGTCGACCACTGCCAGTGCGTGGCGGCCGCTCCTCGCACTGACGATGAGCTCCTCGGCCTCGAAGCCCCGCGGGTCCAGTCATGGGCCAGCTCCCCGCCTGCTTGGCCTCGGCCTCCTTGCCTCCCAGCGCGAGAGAAGGCACCCGCGCACGGGACAGAATTAGGAGGTTCCACAACTCGCGCCCGGTGCAACCTGACAGCGTGAGTGATGTTTGCGGTCCGCTCGAGCGCCCGAGCGCGCGGCGACGCCGGGCGGCCTCGGGGAGGGCGGCCGTCTCGCTGGGGGGCCGGAGAAGCCGGCCCTTGGCGCCCGCGACCATTTGCCCGCACACGGCGGGCGGCTCGATCCGATGCCATCCTTCCTCCGCCAAGGTGCCGCGGCGCCGGCGGGCTGGCCGCCCGCCCGCCCCCAGTCCACGGCCCCGATGGGCGTCGTCGTCGCAGCCGCTCGGGTCAATTTTGTTTTGCAGGCCAGGACAGCTCCCTGGGGACGAGTGCTCGGCTGAACACGGCGCGGAAGGTCGTGCTCCAGGCCTCGGGGGCGTCGAACATGACCTGGAGCAGCTCCAGCGCTGCGTCCCGCTCCGGCCGCGCCAGAGCTACCTCGGGGGCTCCGCGCGGGGAGGCCCGCGGCCCGCCGCCTCCGCCTGGGGGGCGGTCCAGGGCGGGTAGCTCGAGCCGGGTAGCCGGATGATGCGCCGCGCTCCAGAACTGGGCGCGCCCTCGGAGCCCCTGCGCCAGCTTGGCGGACGCACGACCGCGAGGTGCTGGCGCGCCTCGATGCATTCGGCTTTGCGAGCCCAGTGGCCTTCGCCCCGATGTCCACGTGCAGCCCCTCGACGAGCTGCTCTAAGGTGAGTTCGCCCTCCTCCGCAAGCTTCTCCTCGTTCGCCGCCTGCTCGCCCCAGCAGTGGGCGGTGGCGTGGCCCGCTTTCGGTTGTCTTCGGCTCGCCCCACTGGGCGGCATTGATGCAGACCTCCGGTTCTCTTTCCAGGCTGCAGGCCTTGGCTCCGAGCGCATCTAGGGCGGTCGCTGCTTCCTCCGCGCCGGTCGGGCCTCCGTCCCTCGCGGCTTCCAGGGGCACCTGCTCGAGGGCGAGCCCCGACCCGCGGGCCCTCGCCTGGGTCAGGCGAGCGAGGGCGTGCGAGGTGAGGTAGTCGCTGACATCGGCGAGCTTCGCCATCGCCCCGCTCGCCAGGGCGTTGTCGATCAGGCCTCGTCGTTCGACGGCTGCCAGGCGGTCGCTGCTGCTTGCCCCGGTTCCACTCTCCCAACTTTCTCCACGGCCCCAACCACTGCCCGACTATCCTCACTGTCCCCACTGTCCCACTGACTCCTCCGCTGTCCCACTGAGCTGTCCCGCTGTTCCCACCACTGTCCCCACTGTCCCCACCACTGTCCCCACTGTACCTCTGTCCCATTGTCCCGCCGCCGTCCTCGCCACCGCCTTCACCACTGTCCCCACCACCACTGTACCCTCCACTGTCCTACTGTTTCCACCACGTTCCCACTGTCCCCACACCACTGTCCCCACCACCGCCGTCCCCACCACTGTCCCACTGTCCCCACTGTTCCCACCATTGTCCTCACCATTGTCCCCACCACTACCGTCCCCACCACTGTCCCACTGTCCCCACCACTGTCCCGCTGTCCCCTCACCACTGTCCCCACCACCACGTCCCCACCACTGTCCGCTCAGTCAGCTCGCGTCCTGGCCAAGGGCCGCCTCGCGCAGCTCGTCCTCCGTCTCGGCGCACCGAAGGTCGCCGCGTGCCTCGAGGGCTTGCTGCTCCTCGAGAGGCGGCCCGGCGGCTGCGCCAGTCCGATCTGGGCCCCCTGGGCGGCTGCTCTGCCCTCCGGCGGGTGCCGAGGGGGTCCTGCCTCGCGCTCGCTGTCATCTTCAGCTCGGGCCTGAGCCCGAAGCTGGGCAGCGCGCCCGTCGACCGAGCCAGGGTCGACCTTGGCGCCCGACTTGAGGCCGCCTCTCTTGACCAATTGGGCTTGGACCGCCCAGTCGGTGCCGCTCATGCCCTTGACAGGCCCGTGGGAACGAGCGCATGTAGTCGCCGTCTTCGGGCGCCCCGCCCACGCGCGCGCGTCCCGGCGAAGAACTTTCCTACTCCGATCGCGCGGTGCATGTTTGACGGGCCCGCTGGTCTCACTGGGGGAGGGTTTCCTGTCCGCTGGGCGCGAGCGGGCCTCTCGGGCATCTTGGGCTCGCTCTTCTCGGAGGCCAGTGGCGGTCGCTTTGCGCCTGATCGCCTTGGGCGGTCGGGCGGCCGGGGAGGCGACGTAGGCCTGCAGGGCCGGGGCCCCTCGGGCCCCCCAGCTCCCAGAGGCGCCTTCGGCCCCGTCCCTGTTCCGCGCGGGCTCTGGCGCGGAGGGGCGCGCAAGCCGCCCGGCAGCAATCGTCCGCCGCTTCCAAGTTGAAGACGTTCGGGAATTTGAAGCAGGTGGCTCCGCCAGAGCTTGCAGGCGCGTGGGCGCGCAGCTTCAGGTCCTCCTTCCGGGGGATGGGCATCCCCAGGACACGCCCCTGGCGCTGCGCCCGCAGCTGCTCGGCCCGCGCCGCCGGCAACTTTTCCCAGAGGCCGCGCGCGTAGGCGGCTGGGAACGCGACGTCGTCGCCCCCGTGGGCGACGCGGAAGGTCTCGAGGGCCAGGACCCAGGAGTCGCTCGCGCGCGTGTCCCCTCGCGTTGACGAGACCGAGCACGGCGACGTCGTCCTCCGCCTGCCTGGCCCGCGCGGAGCTGAGCAGATGTTGCCACTGAGAGTGACCAGCTCGGCGGGGAGACGTGATCCTTGCCCCCCCCCGTCTCTGGGGCGCGACCGCGTAGGCGATCCGATTCGAGACGGTGGTCGAGAAGTTCACGGGCTGCACGAGGTGCCTGGCGCGCTCGCAGGCGCGCCGCAAGTCGTGGAAGAGCTCGCGGCCGATGAGAGCGCCGCGCACCTCCACCGTGAGAGTGTCGCGCGCCCTCGCCAAGTAGATTCTTAGACGTCCAGCTCCTCCGACCGTCGGACCGTCGTCCCTCTTTGAAGCTCTCGACGGAGTGGAGCATGCGCTCGTTGTCGAGGTGCTGCTGCTCCTGCTGGACCACCTGTGCGTGCACCGCTGGCGGGGGCTTGGCATCGCCGGCGCCTGCCGCGAACCTCCGATCATGTTGCCTAGCGGCGTTGGCCGCGCTGCTTTGGCCATGGGCGCGTGGGCGCCACGATTGGAGAACAGCTCTGCAACGTTCGGAACCACGAGAGCCAGCCCGGCCTGCGCCAGCCGCGGTGCCCCCTGCGTCCGCGGGCCAGGTGGTGGGTCCACCAGCGGTGAGAGCGGGGGGGGGACGCTGCTTGCGGCTACGCCAGGTGGCTGCTGGCGATGAGGTGGCCGCCGAGCACCGCCTTCTCTCGTGGTGGGGTCGCGGCAGGGGGTTGGAACGCTGGGCCGGGCGGGAGTCCAGTGGCGGCTGACGCGCGGGGCGCGCGGCCTTGGCACACGCGCACTTGAGCTGCTGCTCCCATCGCTGCGCGTGCCCGAGGCGCGCGCCCCGGCTCTCCTCGCATGCTGCGGCAGACGCCAGCCGCCGCGCGTAGCGGCAGAGCCGTCCCAGGAAGACGTACGTCTCCTCGTCGATGCCGGCGGCCGCGCTGTGGATGGCGGCGGCGTCGTCAGAGCTGCTGGCGCAGGCGTCGAGGCAGACTGGCACGGCTTCGCCAGCGCCCTCGTCCCGGGGAACCCCGGACTCGGAGGGCGCCTCGGCGGGGCTCCTCGAGCGGCTCGATCGGCGGGGGGCCGCTCGGCAGAGGCCGAGCGGGATCCCCCGCTGATGGCCCAGGCCTGGGCGCTTCCAGTGCTGGGCTGAGCTCTGGTTGCGGGCCTCCGGCTCAGAGTGGCGCGCGGCGGTGCCTTCGGGGCGCCGCTGGACCAGCTGGTTGCGAGTGGCCGCGTCTTCCCTCCGACAGGTACTCCCTGCCATGGAGCAATCTTCTCCCAACTGGCGCGGGGCGCTGCGGTGGCGACCACTGGGGTCCCGAGCTCTTGGAATCCGAGGGGCGGGCGCTGCAGCATCTCTTCCAAGAAGCCTTCTGGCAAGCGCCCTGAGCTGCCAGCCTTCGATCGCCAGCAGGTTGCACCAGGGCAAGCCGACGGCCCGGCTGTCCCCGTCAAGCTCGCCAGGCCGGCGAGCAGAGGGGTGGCCAGCGACGCTGCTCGGCGGGCGGTGGCCCATGCCACGCGGAGGCCGACCTTCCCCTTCCGCCCAGCCTGGGCGCCTGGCCAGCTCCCTGGCGCCTCGCAGTCTGGCATGGCCGCCCGCGTCGGCTTCGGGGGCCCCCCAGGATCTTGTGGGCCTCCGGGATGGGTTCTGGAGTACCCAGCCTTGGGTCATTTGAGGTCGACCCCCTAGCTTGACCCAGAAAGGCTTGAGCCCCAGAGGGGAAGCGAGAGAGAGAGAGAGAGAGCGGACAATGGCAGGAGCAGGAAAGACAGAGGAAACCCGCAAATTCCTGGGGGCTGAGAAGGTCTATCGCTTACGGCAAACAGCTAATTGAGTTTTCGATTGCAATGACGACGGCGAAGGCGACGACGACGGTGGCGACCACGAAGTCGACCACGACCACGACGACCACGACCACGACGACCAAAGCGATTGCGGCGACGGCGACGGCGTCGACGGACCCCGCCCACTGGAGGCCCTCCCTGACCGCTCCGCCGCTGCGGCGCGGCGCACTCTGGTGCCGGCGGGTCAGGCGGGCGCCAGCACGGAAAAGTAAGGGAGAGGGAGGTCGAGGGAGGAGGGGAGGAAGGTTGGAGGGAGGAGGTGGAGGGAGGAGGTGGAGGGAGGATGTGGAGGAGGACGACTACGACGACGACAAAGAGGAGGAGGAGGAGGAGGAGGATGAGGAGGAGGGCCAGGAGGAGGGGAAGGAGGAGGAGGAGGAGGAAAAAGAAGAGGAGGAGGAGGGGGGAGGAGGAGGAGGAGGAGAAGGAGGATGAGGAGGAGGAGGCGGAGGACCAGTGTAAACCCAAGATTCATCAACGATGTTGAAATACACCCTCCCTTCCGTAGCCCTCCTCGTAGGTTCCTACGAAGGGTCATTTCCACTGAAGGAATTGCCCCGTAGGGGTACAACGGTGGGAAACCATGAGGCGTGCCAAAACAATTTCCAGGACTTCAGCGCCACGAGTTAACCTGACTGTTACGTCTTGGCGATCCTGAGTCGTGCCATGCTAGAACACCGTTCCTGAAACTTCATCACCACCGCGAATCAACGTAACTCCTGCGCCCTGACAGTCCCGAATCGTTCCAAAACGCCGTTTCTGGTACGTTTGCCAAGAGAACCAGTGAAACTATTGTACATGTATAAAACGAAAGTGCGCGGCGATAGAAAGAGAGAGAGAGCCAGAGAGAGCCACATCTTTGAAAAGAACCGTCCTCACTCCGTGAAGCTCCTTGCAATTAATAAGACGAGTATGCGCGGCGCTCATTCGATAGCCACATGTGAAAGAGCGTGTTCTACCGCTGCTGGCGGAAAACCGGGGGGGGTCACTACCGGTTCGAACCCCTCCCCCCCCCCTCCGGAAAACCGGGGGGGGTCACTACCGGTTCGAACCCCTCCCCCCCCCCCCCCCAGCTCATCATGAAAAGGGGGGGGGGTCACTACCGGTTCGAACCCCCCCCCCCCCCCTCGAAAACCGAGTGGGGGTGCGGACAGTGGTGGGGACGGTGTTGGTGGGGACAGTGGTGAGGGGACAGCGGGACAGTGGTGGGGACAGTGGGGGGACAGTGGGACAGTGGTGGGGACGGTAGTGGTGGGGACAGTGGTGAGGGGATAGCGGGACAGTGGTGGGGACAGTGGGACAGTGGGACAGCGGTGGGGACGGTAGTGGTGGGGACAGTGGTGGGGACAATGGTGGGAACAGAGGGGGACAGTGGACAGTGGTGGTGACGGTGGTGGTGGGGACAGTGGTGTGGGGACAATGGGAATGAGGTGGAAACAGTGGGACAGTGGAGGGTACAATGGTGGTGGGGACAGTGGTGAAGGCGGTGGCGAGGACGGCGGTGGGACAATGGGACAGAGGTACAGTGGGGACAGTGGTGGGGACAGTGGGGACAGTGGTGGGAACAGTGGGACAGCTCAGTGGGACAGCGGAGGAGTCAGTGGGACAGTGGGGACAGTGGGGATAGTCGGGCAGTGGTTGGGGCCGTGGAGACAGTGGGGAGAGTGGAACCGTGGTGGGAACAGTTCTGGGGACAGCGGGGACAGTGCGACAGTGGTGGGGCCACTGGTGGGGACAGTAGGGGCGGTGGTGGAACCAGTGGGGACAGCGGTGGTGAGGACAGTGGTGCTGGGAACACCAGTGGGGGATGTGATGCGGACGGTGGTGGGGACCGGGAGTCGTTTGCTGGCGGTGAGTAGGGGGGGGGGGGGGGGGGGGGGGGGGGGGGGGGGGTTTCGAACCGGTAGTGACCCCCCCGGTTTTCCGGATCCGGAGGGTGGGGGGGGGGGGGGGGAGGGGTTCGAAACGGTAGTGACCCCCCCCGGTTTTCGAGCGGGAGGGGGGGGGGGGGGGGGGGGGGGGTTAGGGGAGGGGGGGGGTTTTGCCGGGGGAGAGGGGGGGGGGGGGGGGGGGGAGGGGTTCCGGCAGGGGGGGGCGGGATTTCGGAGGGGGGGGGGGGGAGACCCCCGGGTTCCGGAGGAAAAGGTTGGCAATTTTCCACAGTAAAGCGGCGGTGGATCACGCTCTCTCCCACATGTTGAACACCACCCGCCCTCCATCCATGAAGCTCTCATTCTTTAGAACGAATGAGCGCGGCGCTACGGCGAGAGCCACAGTTTGAAAACGACCTGCCTTCAATCCGTAAAGCTCTTTGCACGTTAAAGACGATTGTGTTCAGCGCTAAGGCGAGAGCCACATTTTGATAACGACCCGCCCGCAATCCGTGAGACCATTTGCAAGTTGTTAAACAAATGTGCGCGGCGTGAAGGCGGGATCCGTATTTTGAAAACCTCCCGCCCTCAGTCTGTGAAGCTCTTGCAAATGGCTCCCAATCCTCCTTGGTTGGGTTCTCATTTTGAATAGAGCGCTGTGGACGGGACTCCTTCCTCTCCTCTTTCCTCCTTCGCACTCCTGCCTCCTACTTCCTGCCTCCTGTCTCCTCTTCTTTTTCTTCTTCCTCCCTTCTCTCCTTCGTCCTGCTTGCCTCCCTGGAGGGCTGCGATGTGCGCAGCTGTCGCCACTTTCGTGGGTTCCTGGGGGATCCAGCGGAGTGGAGCGGTACGCGGACCCGTTTGGGACCTCGCGGCGCCTTGCGTGTTGGGAAGTGTGCAACAGTCGCCACGTTCGTGGGTTCCTGCAAAGTCGCGCGGAGTGGATTGGTACGCGGACCCATTTTGGACCTCGCAATAACCTGCGTGGCTGCGAAGTGCGCAATTGTCCCCACTTTTGTGGGCTCTTGGGAGTTCCAGCGGAGTGGAGTGGTACGCGGACCCAGTTGGGACCTCGCGGCGCCTTGCGTGGTTGCGAAGCGCGCAGCTGTCGCCACGTTCGTGGGCTCCTGGGCGGTCGCGCGGAGTGGAGTGGTACGCGGGCCCAGTTGGGACCTCGCAACAACTTGCGTGGCTGTGCGCGGACCCATTTGGGACCTCGCGGCGCCTTGCGTGGCTGCGACGTGCGCCATTGTCGCGCCACTTTCGTGGGCTCCTGGGAAGTTCGCGCGGAGTGGAGTGGTGGGCAGGCCCAGTTGGGACCTCGCGGCTCCCTGCGTGGCCACCGTCGCCACTTTCGTGGGCGTTTGGGAGGTCGAGCGGAATGGAGTTGTGTGTGGATGCATTTGGGACCTCGCGGCTCCTTGAGGGACTGCGAAGTGCGCCACCTTCGCCACTTTCGTGGGCTCCTGGGAGGTCGCGCGGAGTGGAGTGGTACGCGGATTCAGTTGGGACCTCGCGTCTCCTTGAGGGATTGCGAAGTGCGCCACCGTCGCCACTTTCGAGGGCTCCCAGGAGGTCGCGCGGAGTGGAGTTGTGCGGGGTTCCAGTTGGGACCTCGCGGCGCTGCGCATCGGAGGTCGCAGGGAACCGCTGCGACACGCAGCGCATGGCGCTTTATTTTGTCCGCGTGGCCTCCCATCCTCAGCTGCCTTTGGCCCGCCATGTCACCCAGCGCGCTTGCTTCGCTCAGCGCGATGCGTTGTCGTGTTATAGATCGAACACACGGTGCTGTTCTTTCCCGCGTATGTAGCGCTCGGCGCCGCTGCTGTTACTGAACATGTATGTCCCTCCTTCGCACCTCTATGTATGTGCTTGTATATGTTTCTGTATTGCTTATTCATACGCTCTTTCTTGCGTACTTCTGAGAACTCATGCGCACTGCGGGTACTTCGACACGTTTGTTTGTACTGCGTGGTCTTGTATACATGTACAAGCGTAGATGGAAAACCACCCGCCCTCCAGATGTGAAGCTGTTGTCAATGGTTTAGTCGGGGTCATGAGCGGTGAAGAACGGGTCTTGTTGAAAATAACGACAATCGACATAATTTATGCCATGGTCGATTGTGCTGTCTCCAAGATATGTTGCGACAGCCAGCCGCTGGAGTACTTCACCGACAGGTCAAGCCAGACTTTCCGCGATGCTATTTGCAGTCGGATGTGTCGCGGGATCAAGACGTTCCCGAAACGACGCGCGACCAACAAGATCGCACGAGCTAAATTGGTCGCGCCACACAGCGGCACAACCGGAGCGCAGCATTTTCTCGGGACCTTCCCACGCACAGGCTTTCACGACGCATGTCGCCCCCTCTAGTTCGGTGTAGGGTGGCCTCGCACATTGCGCCTGGCCGCCCCGACGCATCGGCATCGTGGTTGTCAGAGTCGCCAACAGTGCGACGGATTGGATTTACTGTGAACTCACGCTGAAACGGCCTCACGATCCTAACGATTGCCCTCGCTACGACAGCACGGTGGCAACAATGACCAGGGCAATGATGATTATCGACGCTCGTAGAATAACTCTGAACGCACTTCGGAGAACATTTGCAAATCGAACTCGATGAATTCGAAGCTCACCCCTACTGATGTATAATATGGTGCGCACCCCTCGGATCTTCAGATTCAATGCAGATTGAATGCACGGCCCCTCGAAGCTCACCCCTATGCATCATCACCCCTCAGAGTCAATGCATCTTGAATGCACGGCCCCGCACTCCCTAGAAAGGGCTGGCAGCGTGCCAACGTTCAGCGTTCCTTCATGCTCCCTTTACCTCTTCCCTCTTCAGCCTTCCCTCTTCCTGCCTCCCTCGTTCGCCCTCCTTCCTCATCTTGTTCGTGCTCCACGTGAGCCTCCTGCTCCTCCGCCTCCTCCTCCTCATCATCATCGTCCTACGACTCCTGATCCTCCTCCTCCACCCCATCATCACCACAAACCCTATCAATCATCGACATCATCATCGTCATCGTCATCGTCGTCGTTGGCATCATCACCATCATCGTCACCATCATCGTCACAATCATCGTCGGCATCGTCATCATCTTACTCGCAATCGCCATCGTCATCGTCATCGTGCTCATCAGCATCAACAGCATCATCATCACCATCATCATCATCAGCATCGTTACCGCCGCCAGCATTTCTGACCGCCGCCATTCATACCGTCATCGTGATCGTCACGGCCATCGCCGCCGTCACCATATACAGTCTAATTCTCGGCATCGTCGCCCCTTCATCCGTGCAGAGGTGTATTCAAGGGCAT